CCCCCCCCCCAAACACTGCTTACCGTATCCGCCGCTGTCGCCTACAATGGTTAGACATTGAATCATATCAGCGTCCCCAGTTAATGTTTAATTCTCCATTAGTCTCCTCCTGGCTATGTCACTATATTCACAAATAGATTAACCATCCAAGGAATACATGAGAGCACTTTATTTACATGTATATTAAATAACCTAAGAAACAAAATTATCCTCCTCCTTATAATTCCGGGTATTTTCGAGTCTAGGTTTCAGGTCCAAGCAGAATAAGGATCATTCATGGAAGTGAATATTATAGTCTAGAGAGGTTTGGTATTTATTTTATTAAGTACAAGACACGCATTATTTATGTAAATTTCAACATTTTAAATAAACTGATCATTTATATTGTATAAACTCACTAAATCCATTCTCAAAAAAAAAAAAAAAAAAAAAAAAAAAAAAAAAAAAGAAAAAAAAAAAAAAAAAAAAAAAAAAACCCAAAATGAAAGTGACGTCCGGGGGTCCTCCTAGGGAAAATTTTGATTCCTAGATGGCCGGAAATGAGCTTTCCCGACTTATTCTGAGGAGTGTTTTAATGACCTTTAAGTACTTCAAATTTGAGGTTTTCCCCCTCTTGACAAAAGGTCAGGTAGTTTTGTCTCATTCTTTAGGAATATCATAGAGGTAAAAATCGAAGGCAGGCAATATATTATTATATTCCAACAACATTGAGTAGTTAGATATGTAGTCTTTCTTCCATGGATCGATGAACCGATAGGCCTGAAGAACTCACTTTCGTACATGAATTGTTACAACGGCGAACCAAAAACAGTGTGTATAATTTATTTAATTGAAAACTAGTTGGGCTCAGCCTAGTTTGTCAGATCTTTCAACCTATGCCTAGGTGGTTAGCATGCTTTTTGTAAGCCAGGACCCTAAGTTGTATTTTGTTACCTTTCTTCACGGGGGTGGGGGGGGTTCGTCCAACCCCTTGAACCCCTCTGGATCATCCGCCACTGCAATAATGTTGTTTGTTCTCTCTATTATAGCTGTAGTGGTTATTGATAAGGGGACACCTTTTTGGTTCAGAATGTGTCCCCTTAGTAGGGGTTGGCAATAGTGTTTCTTTTTTCTGGATTTAATTGGCTGAATTGAATTACTTTTATCAGGCATGCAAAATACAAACTGAACAACAATTTAAAGGAAACATAAAAGCAGAAAAGTATTGTTACCAAATCGTTATTTTAACACCAAACTGTACGTTACCGATTCATCATTTTTAAGCTATGGGGTGTATTCTTGATTTATAAAAATTATCTTGCAGTTGAAATGTTGGTGGGGGACATTTGTTAGTATTGAGTTGTTAAGCAAAAGTCATAGAATTATTTACCGAATATAGGCCTATGTCTCTAGAATAATGTCGGTTGTATCGTTTGACTGGGATATGTGGTCTATTTTGTTTGTATTTTCACAGAAATATGTGTTTTGATTTTATCATATTTTGTATTTTTCAATTATATTTTGATTTTTTTATGTTGAGTATCTCCACATACTTATATGGGGAGCAACACTGCGTCGATGGGAAAATGAGTATACGGATTCTTCTAGGAATTCCGTAGATTTTTTAATTTTATGGTAAAATCTGACACTACGCCTTGAGCACCATTGGTTGAGATGTGCGCATTATAAATCGTTATTATTATCATTATTATTATTATTATTATTATTATTATTATTATTATTATTATTATTATTATTATTATTATTATTATTATTAATATTATTATTTATGTTTACCAGACAATTACATTTTGTTTATAATCTAGATACGACCGGAATGCCATTTAAAACAAAAAAAATCATGATACAAACATGAGTCATGACCGATGGGTTTCCGACCGTAGCTCTAAATCACTTTAAAATGAGCTACAAAGGGCGGAACACATTTTTTATATTATTGGTTCATAAATTTACTTATATTCAATGAAAAAGGGCAAATCTGGTGTCTAAGTAGGTCTATATGTTATTGGAGTCACTTAATTGAATGGAAAATGTTTCATAATTTGAATTCAAGATGACTGCCGTAAAAATTGTAAAAAGTTCAAATACTTCAGTATAATTTCACATCTCATCTATGAAAAATGATAAATTTTGTTCTAATCATATGTTTTTTGGACTCTCTGAGTCCAATAAACATAATTTCAAAAAGATGGCCGCCATAGAAACGTTCGAAAATCAAATATTTTGTTTTTATAATTGTCTTTTATTTGATAGGCCCCTATAATATATTGAATTGATATAATATAATATATATATAATATATATAATATGTATATACATATATATAATATATAGTAAAAGCTGTCGAAAATAAAATATATCATAAAACCTTTGTCTTAAAAACTTTCTATTTTTTTCACTGTTTCCAAGGAGATATTACTGATGTAATATCTCCTTTTGTTCGATTGTTGTTTATCAGACCTTAGTTATATAAACATTATTGCTTTTCAAAAGACTACAATGCTTATTATGTCTTAATCAATTGTTTTTCATGTATCTCATGAAAGTGTCACAAGATGTGTGTGGTACGAATCTAAATACAGGAAATAATAAAATGTCTAATCAAAACTATTGTCTTTGATCTCGATTTCTATTTCTTATCCGCTCTGGTTTACCATTGAGCACTCTGCTGATTATATTTGTGATTCGTTCTATAGTTCCTTTTTGCTTATAATAATAATGGTAATTTATATAGCGCCTTTTCCTCGCAGTTAAAAAGCGCTTGTATTTTACAAAAATGAATCTTAAATCTGCTTTAAAAATACAAGCTATTTATAACTATTTTATTTTGATTAAAAATATCGGTACATTTAAATAGCAAAACAATATGCAAAATATGTTCAGGTGCAGTCCCGGACCTCTACCCAGATTACCGGGCAAAGGAACGGGAAGCACATTGCCCTGTCACAGACGACCGGGTGGACAGACGGTGACCGAGATGGTGGCTCACAGAAGATAATGCAGACCATTAGTTAGAAGACATTAATACAAAGCCAATCATTGAAATAAGTTAAAAAGATTCGTTTTAAGAGTACGTTTAAATGTACAGTGTCTAAAGATGTGCAACACTTTGCAGTCTCAGGCAATTGATTCCACAACGTAGCTGCAACGACTGGAAACGATGTATCACCAATTCGCTTCTTGCAAACTGAATTGCACAGATGATGAAGAGCGCGTCGTGCGCGCACTTGCGACGACCAAGCAGTCAGTGATTTATTGTGGACACATGTTATGTAGTGACTTAAAGACCATCAGTAATAATTGAATGATATCCTCATGCGTACAGGCAACCAGTGTAGTTGAAAACGAAGTGGAGATGTATGTGCAGGTGGTCGGACCATGAATATAAGACTGGAGGCAGAGTTCTGCAATTTCTGTAGTCATGGTATGCAGTAGTTATGAAGACGGGATAAGATGAGAGTTCGCCAGCATTATACATACATATACATACATTACATATAGGCCTATATATATATATCATCAAAGAAAGAAAGGTATATATATATACCTCTCTTTCTTTGATGATTTATATATAGGCCTATATATATATATACATATATATATATATACATATATATATATACATATATATATATATATATATATGTACATATATACATGGAAACGATTACCACGTCATGGTCATGCCATGTAACAAATTATCGGGAGAAAACCAATATTTCGTCAGATATGCTTATGTTTTTATCAAGGTAAGCCACAAGTTGATGTGCAGTACCATCCAAAACTTCGAGGTCGAGGGTTATTTGCATTGCTTCTCTCCTCCAGAAGTAGTATTATGTGGGTACCTGGTAGGGTTTTAGAATGCGCTGATTAAATTTTGCAACGATAGAGCTAGGCAGTGGCGGATTCAAGGGGAAGTAGATCCCTCCCCCAAATTGTGAAAATAAAAAAATAATCAAGATATAAAGAGATTTATATTTAAATTTCCGGTCATCTAGAGGTGCCACAATCACAACTTGTCTTACCTCAGCCCCATCATGATGGTATAGATTCTCCATCTGTGAAAGTACCACCCTGGGCCCCTCTACTTTTTAATTCCTGGATCCGCCACTGCTGAGTATATGTTCTGTATACGTGTTTAATACAATGACCGGGGTAATAATAATTTGGAGCCTTAGAGCATGATGAGTTATTATTATTATTATTATTATTATTATTATTATTATTATTATTACCATTCTCATCATCATCATCATCATCGTCGTCGTCGTCGTCATCGTCGTCGTCATCATCATCATCATCATCATCATCATCATCATCATCATCATCATCATCATCCTCTTCCTCCTCATCATCATCATCATCATCATTATTATTGTTATTGTTATTATTATTAATATTATTATTATTATTATTATTATTATTATTATTATTATTATTAATCGTATTAAGCGTATCTCCAACTTCAAAAGTGATAATTATCCGTCGATAGAGAAAGTGTTGATCAATCTCTTCCGGCTTATTCAAAACTTCAATCCTACGATTCTGAGCACGCAATTTCCTATCCAAGGTCAAAAGACTTTATTACTCTACTAACTGATGTTAAGACTACTTGGCGTAATCTACGGAATCAACCCTTTGTCGTCATGCAAACTCTACTACTACGAGTGTGGGCATTGGCTTTTCACCTTACAATATCATGCGTGTTGGTATCTTCAAACATAGTCGTCCAAACGAACTATGGAAAAGTTGAGGGTTTTAAGACTGACAAAACTATCTTATTCTATGGTATTCCATATGCTGCTCCACCAGAGAGGTGGCGACTACCAGTAAAACCCCGATCATGGGAACCCTACACTATACACGCTGACCACCTTCCCCCCGGGTGCCCTCAAGTGTGTGACCAACCACCAAATGGCTGCCCCGATACAGTAAGTTGAACTACTTTTGTTACGATAGTTTCCACTATATTATAATCACGAATGATTCTATTATATAGGCCTACCTGCAGTTATGTATTCAGCAATGCCGTAGCCAGCTTTTGAAACAGTTGGGACAGTCCAACACAATTCTTTTAAAAATGGGTCGAGATTTCTCCTATTTTGTGTAAAATGGTTCAACTTTTAAGAAAATGGGTCTAGAATTCTCATATTTTGCGTAAAATGGGTCAATTTTTAAGAAAATGTGTCCAGATTATTCATAAAATGGGACAACTTTTAAGAAAATGGGTCCACATTATAGAATTTACGCGTAAAGTGGGTCCACCCTGAAATTGTCCCACAATGTTTAGCTACAGCATTGGTATACAGATATTATTTAAGCTACTGTCGACTAGCTTTCTCGCTCTTGAGCTCTGATGGTAAAACACAATTATTAATCTATAATACATTATCTTGTGTGCACGATAGAATTATTCTACACGATAGAAATAATATCAAACGATATAAAACAATAAAACATTCCAATCACTGAACTATCACAAAGAATGTAAAATTACGAAATGTTGAACCACATTGTCGATTGAGGGAAATCGAACAGTATCGAAAGCCACACTATCGAATTTAACAATGGTGTTTGTGTTTAAGTTGAAGTTTCAATAAAATCATGGCCAATCACTTATATTTAGATACCGGTAGCAAACCGGATAGCGATGGTTTTGAGTAGACGGGTAATACACGGTAATGGTTTAGGATACTATATATTAAATATAATATATATTATATTATTATATTAATTTAGTATTTGGATACCTAGTCTATAGTTTTATGGTATAGGCAATTTTCATTATTCGCAAAGGAAGAGTATGTGCATGGAGGAATTGGTATATGTTACTTAATCCACTAGTTCTATTGGTCTAATAATTAAGATGTTTGTCTTGGTAGCAAGAGGTGGGAGGTTCGAATCTCACCAAGAGAATTTCTTTTTTTTAGACAACCGATTAATAACTTTTTTGTTAAAGATATGAATATAAATCAATTGTTCCTTTAACTGAGCCTGAGACAACTAAATATAACTTTATACTTGTCTCAGTTTTAGTACTGTTTCAAACATTACACATTTGTTTACTTAACCCAACACTCATGATTTCCTTATATATAAATATAATCTTATTATATTAATCTCACGCATAACCTCTCTATCCCTTTCAGACAACCGATTAGTAACTTTTTTGTTGAAGAATTATTCTTACGAATATAAAATCAACTGTTGCTTAATATAGCTGTCTCAGGCTCAGATAAAGGTTATTATAGTCAGGTTTTGAGTACACTATAGGAAATAGAATCCGAAGGAGGGGTGTCTATAAAACGAAAACCGAAGACATAAAAACGAAGACCCCTATTTTTTCTCTTTTATTTTGATGATAATAAGCCACTAAATCAAAATTACGAAATTTGTTGGCCGTCTGTCTGTGAAATTTTTAAGGGTCTTTCTTCCATAGACACCCTATATGGGTGTTTACAAAACAAAGACCAATAGATCGATCATTAGGTCAATGTTCCTTCAATATCATATATAATATACGACAGTATTTCTAGCCGTATTTTCAGATTTATCTGGCCGAACGCCCTCTTGAGGCATAGCATTGTGTAATACAATGTTCCCGACGGGTATTTGGACCTGTTCAACCATGAAACCTTCGTGGTCTAGTGGTTATGACGCTCGCCTTGTCAGCGAGAGGTCGCAGGTTCGAATCCCGTCGGAGGCATTTTATTACAAAATGATTTTTCATAGGACTTTATTCGTTGAAAAGCTACAGGGTAGCCTACGGTGTTTCATCATGTCATTATTAAACAACAAAAGTATATGTACCTTTGATGATTTATATTTTTTATATATATATAATTGAATATAATATAAATAAACATTTCTTTGATGATTTATATATATATATATACATATATATATATATGTACATATATATTGTGTTTTTAAGTATACCAAGTCATTGTCATTTCACCATCTTTTCCATATATCAAATATTATATATATATATATATATATATAAAAACATATATTATATATATATATATATATATATATATATATATATATATATATATATATATATATATATATATATATATTACCTATTTTTTCACATTCAAGGATTAATCTTCTTTAACGTTTAGCATTGATTTATAGGCCTATTTTCAGCATTGCCGCAAAACGGTATAGAGTTTGTCTCTTTCATATCATTATTTATATTAAAAAAAAGCATCTCTTCGGAGATCTGACCTTTCGTCAGTTGCTGATAAGAAGAGGGCGTATAATGTTGATCTATATTATTTTCCTTGCAGCAAAGAGTAGTGCTTCAATAATACGCATGATGGGTGTGAAAGTTCAGGTGCTTTAGTCGGATCTAAATTCTTATATATAGTTGGTGGTACAGTCTCTTCATTCCGCCACCCGACAACCAAAACATACGTCGATGACACATTCATCATTTGGCAGCACAGAAAGGTGTACCTAGATAGTTCTCTAGATCAACTGAATTCTCAGCACGAAGCAATCATGTTTGCTATGGAAGAAGAACACAATCGCTCGTTAATTTTTTGATGTTTTGGTCACCAAGCAGAATACAGGGATTTTATTAATTCAGTTTATCGCAAACCAACTCACACCGACAGATATTTAAACAAACGCTCGTTTCACCATCCATCTAATAAGAAAGGAGTTTGCAACATACTCACACAGCATCAGTGACTGCGGCTCTATCCAGCAAGAATTGCAGCACGTCACAAGCAAGCCCTGAAACTGAACGGTTATCACATGAAAGATTTCAATTATATAAACGCAGAAATAGCCAAGATGATACGGAATCTAGAAAGTCTGTATGTTTACCATATTTGGGACAGCTATCACACCGTATTTAACGTATTCTACAACAAGCCGATAATGAAGTTTTTCATAGTGCACCCTACAAACTATCCAGGACTCTTCAAACACACAAGGATAAACCATCAGCACAGAGTAGCCAGGAGTTTATCGGATTCCATGCGAATACGGAAAGGTTTACATTGGTGAAACAGGACGTGATCTCCGTACCAGGATCAAGGAACACCAAGGCCATGTCAAGAGAGGGGAACAACAAAAGTCAACTATAGTCATGCACTCCCACACACAACAGCACCAGGGGCGGATCAACAGATGTCCAAAAGAGGGGCCGAAAGTTGGGCCGATCGAGACAACACTATCCAAGGGGTGCGGGGGCATGGCCCCACGAATTTTTTGTGTTCTAGACCACCCGGAAATTTGAGGCGTTCTGGGCATTCATTTTTTTCTTTTTCTTTCTTTTTTTCAGAGAAGCTGAAATTCACAAACACAAACAGAGACAAGATATCGGTTTTGTCTTCAGCGATATTTTGTTGTCCATGTTTAATCTGACCTAAACCAATGCAAAACTTTTCCCCGCTTTCTTTTCACCAAGCTAGAACAACGCCACTGTGGCTTCCTAGCCACGCCCCACCCTTTTACACAGATTGTGAATTTTGGCTTTTGTATTGCTTTTTCATACGTAGTCTTAGCTATTGTTTAGTTTTCAACCAATCAGCAGCAAGTCTCACTACCACAAACATATTATAAGTAAGCCTATTTCCCTGTTTGGAATTTCTGCAGATATTATTCTCCTGAAGACGATAGAAGCAATTCAATCGAAACGATATTCTCAACCAACAACAGTTCTTTTCAGAACTATATACGTGGTGTACGGTACCGCAAGCATTAATAAACACAATAAACAAAAGAAAAGTGCTCAACACGAGTTGTTAACAACCCCCGGATACAACCAGGATATATTAAAAACACAGAAATGTGGTGAAACAATGATAATGATAATGATAACGATGATGGTGATGATGATAATGATGATGATGATGATGATGATGATGAAGATAATGATAATGATGGTAATTAAGCATGGCATTAAGCGCTATATAAATATAACATATTATTATTATTATTATTATTATTATTATTATTATTATTATTATTATTATTATTATTATTATTAATAACCAATAACTGATGTAACGATAACTATAACTATAACGGTAAAGGCACGACAACGGTAACAACAATAATCAGGTGTATAGATCTGGTCCTTCCTATTGTGCAAACTCGTCAATTACACTTGTCATACCGTGGTTTTATCTATTCATTTAAATAAATTCATTTGTATTGCAGTTCAGTGAAGACTGTCTTTATTTGAATATCTTCACACCTGTAAACGCAAATCCGACTTCAGGGTTTCCCGTCATGGTGTTCATCCACGGCGGAAGCTTTGTTGATGGTGGAATTGGTGCTAGAATATATGACGGCAGGTTTATATCGAATATGACAGAAACGGTTGTAGTGACCATTAGCTATAGACTAGGTGAGTTTTGTTGGTAAAATGATATAAATCTTAATTATAATATGCACATGAATATTAAATCTAGTCTATACCAAATTGATCGTAGGTAGTAGAGTGTTATTTTGTCTCAATAAAACATTGCACTAGAAAACAAGTCTTTCACCCCCTCATCTTCAGAAAATGCCCCGGTACGCTGGGGACGTTTTGATTTTAATAAACTATCAATCTTCCCTGTATATCTGTATATTTATTTAACTTAAATCTAGTTGTTTTTTATTTTTATAATTTTATATAAATATGCTAACAAAATCACTGATTATGCAAAAGGTTAAAAGTAGTAATCGTTTTAATAGTAAATTTCTTTGCATAAATTGTTTAAATCCATCAACATGTCAAATAATATCCACTACTAGAAAAACAGACACTCTGTAAATTATGAATAGGTTCATAAGATGGAGTGGTAGGCCTATTCCTTTCACAAAATATTAATATATTACTGTATAATTGTTTAAAGTCAGGCTCCGGAGAAAAAAAAATTGATATGTTGTAGAACTGATTTTTCTAAGACAGAAAAAAGTAGTTTGATCAAAAACTGAGCAACGGTGTCTGACTTTAATCAATTTGAAATTTAATCGTAACCATATATTACTGTATTATTTTACGTGCAATAGGTAACAGATCGCTCCAGAGTGGTTTTTTTTTTTACCACTAGTTCCCGGGTATTTAACCTTTTTATGTTGGGGCCAGTTCCAATATGTTGAGACAAGAGGCGGGTCGACATAAATTGTGTACAGTACTTCCATTTTTTTCTATGTCAGCCCCACACATTTTCTTCTATAGCGGTGGATTCGAAATAGAAGGGACCAGTGAAGAACTTTCACAGATAGGGTGAAACTACCACCTCAGCCCCACCATGGTTGGGGCTGCCTCAGCCCCACCATGGTTGGGGCTGCCTCAGCCCCACCATGGTTGGGGCTGAGGCAAGAAAATTTATGATTATGGCACCTCTAGATGGTAGGAAATGGCACTCTTAGACACTAGATACGGTGAGCTACACTCAGAAAAAGCCACACTCTTGAAAACAATGCTAGAGTAGGGGTGCCTAGGAGGTGTTTCTATAAACAGAAAATCTTTTTCTAAAAATCGGCGGGAAAATTATTTATTTTTAGCAGTGTTGCGCGGGCCAGATCAAAACCTTTAGCGGGCCGGACTTGGCCCTCGGGGCGGGCGTTGAATACCGGGGCACTAATCACTTCCACATTGAAATATGTACTACTGTCCTTTTACAATACCGTATACTGTAGTGCACAAATACGATATTTAGAATATGATTTGTACAAAATTTAATATGAATGTCACCTGATCATTGTATTTACGTCATTTTCAATCTGCTAATTGCTTTCATTTTTTATGTTAAAGATGCATCTTGAACTAGAGTTGAATACAGTATTATCATTTGTCAAATAGCAAACATAGTATTTTTTCACAGGAGCATTGGGGTTTGCTGTGTTTGGAAATGGTATAGACGGTAACTTCGGTTTTATGGACCAGCAATTTGCCCTGCAGTTTATTCAGGAAAACATCGGAAATTTTGGTGGCGACCCTGACAAGGTGCGTGCATTTAACAACTGCTTCCATGATCTGAAACCTGTCTGCACAGTTCATGTGTTAGGCTATTTACTCCTTATTGCATTGGCTGGGGCGGATGCAGGATTTTGAAGTAGGGTTTGCGTGAGAGTCCACACCACCTCAACCCCACCATGGTTGGGACTGACGGATGAAAACATTTTGAGAATAAGGACCAGGTGTCCGAAAAATTGCACTTTCATACATTAAAAATCTACCAATACCGATAATTTACAACAAGACAATACAACAATTATTTTTCTTAATACAATTTAGGGGGTGCGATTGCACCGTCTGCACCCCCTCCCCAGATTGGTGTGGGTAAAATAGGGCTATGAGCGAAAAAAAAACAATCATCGGATGTATTGATATGGGCATGGAAACAGTAGTGCCGCCAGTGTGGCCCAGGGGTCACAGCTCCCCTCCCTATCCGCCTGGGAAAAGAATACAATTAGTCGGAGAGAAGCACATTATATGTATTTTTTTTTTACAGAATGCGACTCTAATACTGTTTATAAAGTCACCACTGAATTTTTAGGTTCAATTCAATTTATTCATCATAGAAATGTTAAAATAGCGATAGAATATATAATATAATAAAAAGATGAAATGGACAACCATAAAAAGCTCAAAGAGCTTGTACAAACGTGGTGTCCAATGGAAGGATAAATAGTATTTAAAAAAAGTCGACCACAATTTAGTATAGCACCATGGTAGGAGAACTATTGTTTTGTTGAGAGTATCTCGCCATTTCGACTGAATTGCGTCAATCGGCATCAGAAGAATAATATCTTAAGGTATCCTTAGTAATGCCCTGATGACGATTGAAGCATGGAGGTATAAAATTGTATACCTCTATGATTGAAGCAGCCCAATCGAAGCGCCAAGACATTCTCAACAAAACAATAGTTCTTTCCAGAACTATGTACGTGGTGTACCACGAGCATAGCACTAGGCAAACATTGTGTTGAAAATTGTTTTTAACATTGTTCCTGTTGAATTATTGATCTATAATCAAATTGTGATAATTAGTATTTTATTTTTATTTTTATTTGTTTAGGACACTGTAGAATAATTCTTGAAATATATCAGTTTTGTGTGTGTTCCATATTATGATACTATGCCATTTGACACTATTCATATTAATTTTCATCTTAGGTGACGTTGTTTGGCCAGAGTGCTGGTGCTCAATCTGTCAGCCTTCATCTGGTCTCCAATTCAAGTAGCCACCTCTTCCATCGTGCCATCGTCCAGAGTAATCCATTCACTCTTCCTTTTAGAAAGCACACAAGTGCTTTGTATTTAAGTGATTACTTAGCTGCATATCTAGGGTGTCCTCTCAGAGATGTTGCCTGTATGCGGCGTTGTACTGCAGACGACATCGTCCAAGCACAGAAGAAAGCGGCGCTCAAAATACTCCTTGACCTGTCTAATCCGCTACAATTGTTTGAAGCATGGGGACCAACAGTTGGTGGAGATCTGATTCCCAAGTCTCCCATGGATGCAGTGCGACTAGGTATTTTCCAACAAAAGCCGCTAATTGTAGGCTCTCTCACCGAAGAGGGCAGGTTATTTGTCTATAAGGCCTTTACAAGTAGGGTTTCAGTTTTGAAAAGTGTGGAGGTGTTCCTTGCTTTATTTCGTCAGGATACATATAGAGTTCTACTTCGATACGTCCCCTACCCAGGGGCTGATAATCGTAATTTACTCGCGCGATTGTTAACTGACTACGCATTTACGTGTTCTACGAGGAACATTACCAGAGAAATGGTAAAGCAAAGTGTGCCTGTCTTATATTCGTACATTTTTGATCACGCTTTTTCTTTTAAAGATGCATGGGGTAAATTTTCATTCTGCCGAGGTCACGTCTGCCACTCTTCTGATTTACCTTTTGTTTTCCACGATGCTACACTTGCCGGTTATAAATACACCAATTATGAGTTAAATCTCGCAGATGATATGGTTAAGTACTGGGCAAACTTTGCTCATTCTGGCGATCCAAACCAACAGTTGTCGAATAAACGTGATTATCTGACAAAATGGCTACCCTATACATCGGCAGATAAATGGGCATATATGCACTTTAAAACACCATGGAGTAAAGTTGAAACAGATTTCCAAGAGAGCATCTGTGATTTCTGGGATCAAATAGGTTATGAACCGATACGTTTGTGTTAATAGTGGTTGTACCAAAAATCCGGTAACGGTATGCGGTGAACCCACATTTAATCAGAAGTTGACTGTCGACAACGAGAAGTATTGATGTGAATACCTAGAACTTATTTGGCTTATAGTCAATTATAGGCACCCGAAGCGCCCTCGAATAACAGATTCGGAACGCAGTGCTTATGTTGATTACGTAGAAAAAAAACACCTGTATTTCTCGTTTGAGACGCGACTTAGAGCTGCAATGCGCAGTGTTGTGAAATTGTTTATTTCTGAAGATTCCCTATTAAATTTACACAGCCAAACATTGTAATTATTATCATCAAGCCAAAATGAAAATAAATAACAATTGTGGTGACGTCACTTTGATGATGTTAGCATTCACATTGAGACACACCTCATTCATGATACTACGTCATGTTTTGTATAGTATTTTCTTTTAAGGTGAGTTGTGCTTACTACTGTATAATTTGAACGTGTTCACATCTTATCCAAGTGTATTGTCCGTGACCAAAATTCTACAATATATTGAAATATATTCCACCTCTCCATGTCACCAGTGGCGTATCTATGGGATGCGCGAGGGGGGGGGGGGACCGTCCCCCACCCCTAATCGTTAAAAATCACTTAAAATCACCTTATTTTGCGAATTAGCGCCCCTCAACTGATCATTGAGCACCCACTTCACCTTCGCGCCTCCCCCCACTATCAGCACCCCCATTTCAAGACTTCTAGATACGCCATTGCATATCACACCTATTAAACTCTAATGTTACGCACCCTCATTCAGCACAACATATCAGGAGGTGGCTCTTCCTGGTATTAACGGTATTACCATACGTCTCGTCTCGTAACAACCAACTCCATTATGTCTATCCCATCTTTTCCCACTCCCGCCTAAAATGTGCCATGCTCTTTAATGCATCATCACACATCTTCCTCCCTCCCTCTAGTTCCGTTGCCTTTTGATCAAAAGAATAAAACGTTATTACATGTGGTCACTGTTGGAAAACCGGCTCATTTGCATCTTTTTGCATAGGGATTACATAACCTTGAGATACTGCAGTGTATTGTGCACAAACCGATGCATTCAATGCGACAACATCCTACCAGAGATACCCATTTATACTCTTGATTAGTGACAGACAAGCAGACGTATAGTTATTTTTTTTAAGAAAGCAGGAGATTCGAACCACAACCTGTCTGAGAGACACTGTGCCACTTCCACGTTCTACATCCTGACTGCATGTGATAGTTTTTTTTTAAATTATTATTAATGATTGCTCACCTGGGATGTCTAGTATTGTGGAATATCATCTATAGATGCAAATGATATCTTAAACTCACCAAATCATCTAATATCTTAGAGAAATAACGTCTGCCTTTCATGTAGTGTAACATATTTGGAAGTCAATCTTGCAGGTGTAATAGAGTAGGGTTTACCTTTAGGTTTAGTTTACGTTTAAAAGACACCAACCTATATACACATAATTCTTCAAGCGAACAAAATACTGATCAATCGTGTCTCAGATGATGAAACTGCATTTTATTTATTTGATCACATAGATTAAGTTGTAGGCCTATTTTAAAATAATGAAAGTATTGATGATTATTATGAACCATATAGTTTTATGTAATTGTGATATTGTATATTGATGAAAGCAATATTTTGGGTTAGAAGATTGTGTATCAGGTTGTGATTATTACTTATCTGTTAGTAAATTGTACATTTATTGTGGTATATAAGTTGACATTTTACTTTTAACTGAAAGTAATTAACGAATTATTAATTAATTAAAGTTATGTAAGTATATAATTTAATGAATTTTGTTCATCGATGTCTTTTTAATTGCCTGTCATTACAGTACATCGATAGGATGCAATGCGTTATGGTAGCCTATGGCCTTTGGTTCTTAATAGGCGGCCCGTGTAGCCATTAAATATAGCCCTTGTGAAAAGAAATTAAGAGCAAATTGTCAAAAGAAGAGAAGCTTGTTCTATTTAATGTATTCGGTCATGAATTTTTTAAAGTTTCTATAAATAATTTTAAACAATTATATAAAATAAAAAAAAGTGTGTTTTGTATTAGTTTCACACTTATTCAAAGACAAATTTCTGTACTTTGAGGAGAGTGGTATTTGTCTTTGTTAACAAAATGTCTTTAATTGTAATTGTTGATTTTGAATAAATTTAATATTATTAAAAAATGTGAAAATAAAATATATAAAAAAAAAACTACCCCCACACCCCCGCCCATGGGCCATGTCCACTAACGACATTTACGGAACGATCACGTGTGTGTGTGTGTGTGTACTCAAGCAATTAAATGTCTTTACAACTGATAAAAAAAAATGTCAACAACTATCAACAAAGGTCAAAGATTAATAATAGTCCGGCAGCTTAGCAGATGGATGTGGACGTTCCGGACAAAAGCACCAATTTTTTTTTACATGCTCCTTATGGTCATAGCATTCAATTTTTGGTAGGAACCACCTCATCCGAGGTCATTATGGTGGCCATCTTGGATTTCAAAATGGCCGCCTAATAAAACCTATGTTTATCTATATCTCCGCTTCTAAACCACTTGGAATTATAATTCTAATGTCTGAAACTATTTTTATATGGTCAAGGAATACAATCATACCATTTTTGACCTGGTCAGATTGCCACAAATAGGTCATTTAAGGTCATTTATGGTCATTCAAGGTCAAATATTGTATGGGATCTTAAAAATTACATAATTGTCATATTTTACATTAGAACCATACCCAGACTCTCAGAATTCAAAATCTTTACAATGAACTACAATATTTCATTCAAGGTCATTCTGGCAGCCATCTTAAATTTCAAAATGGCTGCCACGCAAAACCTA